CAGGAACATTTAACCCCATAAGGATACAGCTTCTAAAGTAAAAGGCCAACATGACGGAAAGTTTCCGTCATGTGTCCTTAACGGGATTATGTAAGTTAGGTCTGTAGATGAAATCTGAGTATCTTTCTTCATTTGAGCTATTATATTTAAAGGAACACTCCAAGCAACTGTAATGCAGTGGTTATGGTGCTAGGTGTGCCATGCCCCCATGTTAGTAAACAGTTTAGTAACAGTTTGACTTCTTACTGGGATCTGATGGGTGCCACTACCTGCCTCCTCTCACCCTCCAAGAGAGCCAGAAGGCTCAATCTACCATTGACACAGCATTACAGAATAGATGACCCCTTGACCCATGAAGAGATGACGTGTGACTGCATCCAATGCATTCTATTCTGACGTTTAATTTTGTAACCCTAAGTTATTGTCACAGCGGCAGAATATTGCTTTGGTACTTGTGATCTGGAAAGAACTACAGTAAAAGTATTGGGAAGCTGTGACTGACAGCACTGACAGTATCAAAGATCTTGTCAGTGGCGGTGGTGTGGGGTGGTGCACTGTAGGTTGCAAATCCCTGTAAGTGATAATTTATGACCGTGCTGTCCAATCTCTTTGATGTTTATGCTTGGGTTTTATTGAGTTTTATTTGCCCTACATACTATAGATCCGGCCCTATAAGATTAGTGCATACACAATTATATTTGTTATTTTATTTATTCATCCTAACATTATTCTGACACTCAAAGCCTAGCCTAGATTCACACACCAATATATAGTCTATTTTCTCTTAACATCTCTTGTGCCATCCTTAATTTTACGTCCTCTACTAGTCTCATTTTGCCACTAATTTTACTTGGCATAATTCCCCGAAACTTATCAACTTGCCAACCTTATTTAAAAAACAAGAGAAGTGTACCAGAAAGGGACTGGGATGAATAAAATACTAGAAGTAGATACTAGATTACCACAAGGTACTGCCAGACTAGGAACTAAATGAGTCGAAAATAATAAATACTTTATTAATACTAAAATACAATAATACAAAACTCCCTTCTGACGAGCCAGGTCGGGCGAAACGCGCGCGTCCAGGTGTCCTATCCGTGCTGTTTTCATGATCTAGAAATAGCACGTGGACTTGCTACCGTGCTTTTTATAATTACTTATTATTTATTTATTTATTTTTGTACAGAATTCTGGTACACTTCTCTTGTTTTTTAGTTTCTATTTGGGCTTACCCCCACCTCTTAATGTACCTAGGATAGGCTTTACCCCAGTTCTTTCTTTTTTCTGCTGCCAACCTTATTTCACCCACCCAATTTTATCTAAAATCTACATAACCAACTTAATATTTTACTTCTATCTCAGTTTAAGAATATTCACAAGTCTTTACCTTGGGGGGGAGGGGGGGGAATAAATACATCTTGGTTTCTATAAAATAGTCAGAGGTATTCATTAAATGTGCGACCATAGGAATTATAATTAGGAATTATTTTGTTTTCTTAATAAGTGTCAGTGGACCTCTGGTACACATGCTTAAAATAATAACATATTGTAAATATCTTCAGTAATTTTTAACATCCTATTCAAATGTATATATTGCGAATCAACAATGAAAAATAAAATTCATCCCTGTTATTTCTGTATCAAATATGGGATTTTAGCAAACACATTTTCTCCAACATGTGAGATCTACTGAACATGTACATTCGCTTCCTTTCCTGTGACAAAAAAAACCAAATCTGAACTTTTGAGGGCATTTTACAATGTCTTCAATATATTATTTAGGGGGGACATTTAATATTTCTGCATTTGTCAGTTTCAATATTCAGCCTATGCTTGCATATATAAAAAAACAACAAACAAAAAAACTCCACTAGCACACACAGACAATAACACTTTTCATAAACAGTACAATGTAAGCATAAGTCGATATGGGCGTCTCATGCGCACCTGTGCAAAGCATCACTTTTTGCACCCTGCACAACGCCAGAAAAGAATTACAAATTTATATTTACTAAGATTAACTTTTTATATGCATTTACAAAAATTGCTGTTGAGTAAGACGAATACTGGTTTTCTACCTAGGTAAAAAATAACTATCTATCTATCTATCCATCTATTTCTTTCTATCTATCCATCTATATCTATCTATCCATCTATATCTATCTATCTATCTATCTATCTCTACCTCCATCATTCTGTCTACCTCCACATGGGGTATGTGACTCACTAACGTCCCAGACCCGGATGTCATGACATGCAGCAAATTCCTTTACTGTTTCCATGTTTCAATTGTGAGTGGTAATGGATTTGTATCCACACACAATGGTCCAGATGTTACCAGATCAAAAAGACTGTCTCACAAAAATCAAATAAACAAAAGCATGTGTCAGTAAAACAGCAGGGTTGTATGGTCTCCCTGGAGAACTGAAAACTTACACAATGCATGTGTTTCTCAAATCACAAAATGTGGACCACTGTGGGAAAGAGGTGCCATTAATCTAACCTCGTGGAGGTGTCAGTGCAACCTGCAACTGTGTTTGGTTAAAATGTAAATACTTTGAGGGAGATTTAATTGTTCTAAAAAGTGGTTTAAATTAATAAAATTGGGACAATCACCATGGAAATAGCTGGAACCAGCAGCCACATTTCATTAGTGACCCCTCCTTTATCACATTTTTGAACAACTTTTTAGAACAGTTTGATAAATCTCCCCATTTGTCTTACAACAGATTGATAAACAAACAAGTGATTAAAAGTTCATACTCTTATTATAATTTATAGACCTCAAAAAATATTTTAGAATTTATTATTTTCATCAGCTGTGTAGTTCTTCGCTTTCTGGTTCCAAAATTGGATCGTAGACTTTTAATTGTCATTTAACACCTTATATTAAAATATGAATTTTATATGGGGTCTGTCCATAAATATCCAACTATTGAACTCTCTTTTAAAGAAAACAAAAAATATTTTTTTAAAGGATTTGTTCAAGGTAATTAGCCTGCAACTTGTGACGGTTATCCAAAAATAGTTAAATATGGGAGAAATTATATATCTTAAATATAGGGGAAGGAGACAAAAACACCCAACAAAATTTAGTTTCAGAAGTTAACGCATTTTAAGATTACTCTAAATAGAGTATTATAAGACCTATCCACCACTGTTCAACAGATAAATTGATCAAAGTTTTTTAATTCATCATCCAAAATAGCTAAGGAAAAAACTAAAAACTTTTATCTAACTTTAGAAAAAGTTAACAAACGCCATTTTGAAACTACTCTCTTTACGTTGACTGGCTGCCAATTATTGCTCTCTAATAGCAACTCCAAGAACATATAGCTGCCTAGTAACTCATCAGCATCCGTCTGTCTCTGTCAATCAAAAATGTTAGCTAAGGGTTAAGCTATTTATTTTATAAAACATTTGAATTTACATTTCAATAGTTTCTAAATTGTATTTTACATGACCTGTCTGGCTATACAGGTACGGCAGAGCGTATAAAATGAAATTTATCCTTGCAATGCCATACATATGCGTTCATCGCACTATTGAAGGAAAGTCCAAGGACGCATTTGCTAGTTTATTTGTCTGTAGATGCGTCCAAGTCATCATGGGATGGGGTTGGAAGTGCACCAGGCTGCATTATGCCTTACAATAGTAAATGCTTTAACAGAGGTCACTGTGGGGAAGGAACGGGAAACTGTGATTCCCAGTGAAATGACAATTCTGCTTTATTGTGTCGGAGCAGTGAGCAATTTATCGAAAAATTTGGAAAGTTTTAAAAGTCCAAAGTACATAATGGGTGTTGGTCTTTTCATGGTAGTGACTTAGCTGAGCAAACACTGAATGCCACTCAAAAGGATGAAACACACATCACTTTGTGATAAAACGGACTCTGTGGCTGAAGGAAAGAGGGGCTTGCATATTGACACTGTGCTCAAACCCACCTGTAAACCAAACTGAGTTGCTGTGAGTATAACCTTTCTAGGGAACCCTCATATTTTGTCAAAGAGGCTTGAGAGATCATTGACCTGTAGTTTCCGTACATTTATCATTTGCTTTATTCGGTGAGTCTTGCACCAGTCACGAATGAACTGAAAGCATTACGAATGTTGCAAACAGAAAAGACAAAAAAACGATTGCTAGTGCTCGGAAATTTTGTTTGCAGCACAAAAGACAGGAAATGTTTAGTGTTAAATGTTAAATGCTCAGAATACCTTAAATACTATAACATAACATAAAGACAGGTTTTGTGATTAATGTAAAAAAAAAAAATAGAAAAAGGAAGCGCCTCAGAAGGATGCCATAAAATGAAGACATAGGCAAAAATATTTTTGAGTTGCATTATAAAATAATTTTTCTATGGTGTTTAGTACTAGTTACTCCCTTATTTGCATCTTGATATCATTTAACACATTTGATGAGAGAGATTTTCGCTCAAACATTTCTTGTCTTTTGAACATTTTGCATCTGTTCTAACTTGTGCCAGAGTAAGGGCCTCCATTTGTGTTCTACCAGCACTGGTAGGTAGGATTTGTGACAGGCGGTGGGAAGCCCTTTGTGCGTGCCTGTGATATTATGGGACACCAGGCAGCCAACGCACGACAGAAGGACAAGACCTTGAAATTGGAGATGAACCTACTGGATCCAAGACTGATGGAGATATGCATTTGTCTGGTAATATTACATAATAGGTGCAATTAAAATATAAAGCTGGTTTTTAATATCCCATAGTAAAATCATTGGATTGACTGAGATCGTCAGATGGGGCGGGGGTGGGGCCAAACACCAGCCTGGCCAATCAACATCTCCTCATAGAGATGCATCGAATCAATGTGTCCCCATGCAGAGCCAGAAAGTACATCTAGAAGCCATCTGAGGAGTGGTCACTGGAGATGTCCCATGGCTTTAAAGGGACACTATAGTCACCAAAACAACTTTAGCTTAAGGAAGCAGTTTTACTGTATAGATCATAATCCTGCAGTCTCACTGCATATTAAGGACAACAGTCATGTAAAATAAGGTGCATGACTGTTGTGGACAAAGATACTAACCCAATCCATGTTGGTAAAATGCCTATTTACTCAGTATAACTACAATAAGCATTATTCAACTTTATATGTGATTTACCTAAAAATGGCCGTTAGGGAGTTTCCCCTTGACATCGACTAACACCCTCATTAACAAGATGGCGCTGGAATCTGGGGGAGACCTCCAAGCTATCAGTGACATCACACCCGGTAGGAAGAGCAATAAAATGGACCACTTAACACCTAACCAATTATTGATGTATTATTCCATGTTATCTCTGACAATGCATATGATGTAATTTTATAAGGGACATGCCGTCCCCTCAGAATAAACATTCCTCAAGTTTTTTCATTCACCTGTGTCTGGTGTGAATTACTTTAGGAGCGTGCACGCATTACTTCTTAATTTGGCCGGGGGCAGATCCGCAAGATAATCAATTAATTAATTGATTCCACATCAATGTCTAATACACTTTGATGGTAGATGTTACATGTTATCTCTACAAAAACTACGAAACTTTTTCTAGACAGTCACTTTTGAAAATGGTGCCATTCAGTGCAGGTTGTGTTGCGTCCTTTCACTACGCTTTAGCAATGCCAGTCCACCAGTTCCTATCTCGATTGCCATAGTCATGGTCAGGTCTGTAAATGTTCTGGCTCTGTCTAGAGACTGGTTTTGTCACTTTTCTTGGCGTTCCAATTCCAACCAGTCGGTTCAAACTTTTGTCTCACCAGACCCCCATTGTGCCTGCAGACCACAAGCTCCAAGAGGCTCAGTCTGTAGAAAAAAAAATGCTAAGGAGAAGACCCATCTATTTTTTGGCTGAGAGATCATTTTCACATGACAGGATTCCCTTCATTCCATCACAGTGAATCATTAAAAATCACAGGGTTCCCTCAATCCATCACAGTAAATTATTGTAAAACAATAGCAGTTTTTACATGCTGGACGTAAAATACTTTTAACTCAAACTTAACAATTTCTCTTTAATGCCTCTTGTTGTGATTATACAAGGAACACAGGAGCTTCCATCCAATAAAGGGTTAATACAGACTTTCCATGAATATCAGTCCTGGTATTAATTTTCTTTACTTTCACCAAATCCATTGTATAATCAAATTTCAAATCCAATAATGCTGTACAAGTCAGCCCACTAATCCTTTAATAGTCAGATCTTAGAGTTCTTGAAGAGTTGGGAGTGTCTCTGGCCACGTTACTTAGTCAATAAACTCAAAGGCATGATGAATACTCCCATCCGTGTGGCACCCCCTACAGAGAAACCTTTTGTAATCTGCAAAGGAGTCCTAAAGGCTGGTAGGAGCGTGTGACATCGGTTCAATAAGAACAATGTGATTTCGCCTAAAGAGTGCACAGGTGCCTTTTGGAACTGCTCAACATACCTTTTCGTTTCTGAGCAACTTCCTGGGCAGGAAGTAAAATGTGAAAAACAAAAATGCTTCCCCCAAGGCAGAGGCAGAGAATTGTTCCATCTTGATTAACAATTATATTTTATTATTATTATTATTATTATTATTTTATTATTTATATAGCACCAGCAAAATTCCATAGCGCTGTATTGTATTCAGAGAACAATATAGTACAACCCTCCCAGTAACTGAAAAATTCTTAAAGAGATACTCCAAGCACCATAACGACTACAAGTAACTGTAGTGCTTATGGTGCCACTGTGCCACAATTCCCTGGCACTCCCCATTGTAAGCATTTATCCATTGCAGGGCTTAGCTCAAGGGAGCTAACAGAAGTTCCTGCTTGGAAGCTTCTGGCTCTCTG